CGGAGGTGGAAATTGAAACCGGCGGATCCGAGGGTGCTAAGTCGCGATTTTTCGTGCCTCGCGGCACGTTTTTTTTAGAGAAACTCAGTGATTTGAAGGTAATTTGGAGGCCGCGTGACACGATTCGAAGGCGATTCAGCAATTCACAGCAATCCGAAATTTGGAATTTCCGGGAGAAATTACTGTGTTTGCAAAGTACGGTAAATTCTCCCTAATTGACGCTGAGATTGTACACAAAAATGGACAATTTGGGACATAAATGGACAATTTGGTGACATAACCTTGACAATTCGAGTCCTCGAATAATCGTATCTTTTTTCCCCAAATTGTCCATTTTTTTTTTAACAGTCTAAGCAATCTGTCGATTAGCGTAATCGGACCGGGGCCGAGCCACAATTATCAGGCCCTTCGAGGCAAGAAAACAGGAAATTAACTTTCCGAACAATAATCTTGAAAACGATTCCGATGCTCTCCGGCCGACGAAACAGTTGCGCGAAGCGCCGCAGCGGCGGCGAAATTCTCCATCGAAAAGGGTATTTTTTAATTTTCTGCGGATTGTATACGATTGGTAGGTATCTTCTAAATGGCATACGCGCGAAACACGGGAACGTTTCCACTCGACGTCGAAGTGATCGGTCCCGCGAGAAATCTAGCGGTCTCAAGGCGCGGGAAATTGGAGGATATTGATTTCCCTGGAGGTAGCGGGCGCATATCTAAGAAAAAAAAAAAGAAAAAAAGGAGAAGAAAAGAAAAGTGGACAAAGGGAGGAACCAGGCGACAGGAATATTTCATGATATCGTTGAACTTCTTCCTCCGGATGAATATTAAAAAAGTGAGCAACTTACGAGGCGGAAAGGATTTTCTCGTGCATTAAATGCGTTTAAGCCCGGCCTGACAGAATCACCGTAACCTTCTCACGCTAATTTCGAACTTTTCAACGAGCTTAATATATTCGACCGAGAAGAAACGGCGGGAATGAGATGATTCAATCCGTTTCTCGAGAAAAGGAAACTCGCGACCGATTTTAAACGTATCGTTCTGCTCCCGCGACGTCGGTGGGCCACTTACATGAGCCCCTTGGTTAACAAATTATGATAATTATATTGTAATAACTAATTATAATAAGTATATTGTAATAGCTAAGTATAATAATTATATTGTAATAACTATATTATGGTAACTAATTATAATAATTATATTATGATAACAAATGATAATAATTATATTGTAATAGCTAAGTATAATAATTATATTGTAATAACTATATTATGGTAACTAATTATATGATAATTATATCATGATAACTAATTATTATATATAATAATTATATTATGATAACTAATTATAATAATTATATTATGGTAACTAATTATAATAATTATATTATGGTAACTAATTATTATATAATAATTATATTATGATAACTAATTGTAATAATTATATTAAGGTAACTAATTATTATATAATAATTATATTACGGTAACAAATTATAATAATTACATTATGGTAACTAATTATTATATAATAATTATATTATGATAACTAATTATTGTATAATAATTATATTATAATAACTATTTATACTAATTATTTAATTGCAATTTGAAATATTAAGGTATTAAAATTAAATATCTCCGCGTGCGTATTCAAGGCATGAACTGTGCCGAGTGAGCATTCTTGTCGAGGAAATTGCAATATTTTAACATGAATTTTGAAATGAATTCATCCGTGTTGTCAGCATCGAGTTACCGACGCTTTCCCATCGACGGCCGTTCGATTTTTGCTGAGTCTACGTTCGCGAGATGCCGCCGTACAGCTTCGGGAAACTTTTCCCAGATTTCAGATACCAGATTCATCCATTTTAATAAGGCAAACACACGGCAAGCGAGAGTAATGAATATAAATCGGTGTCCAATACGCTCGCAACGGTGTTCCCACGAACTGATTCCGTTTTAGGAATACTTTATCCTTTCAAGTACACTGCCACTTACAGTCTTAGAAATAATTTACAGCTGTGAATGCGTATATAAATTCATGTTCGGTGAACTATATATTTATCGAGAGAATAATCTACTCGGAAAGAATATTTTTAATTACCAAAACTGTGATCATAGCAACGAGGACGTTTTTACTAAATAAGTTAGGGTAGTTGGAAAATTAATTTTTCACGTATTTATGTGGCAGCATTTGTGTGGAGTTACTTTGTGCACGAATGCTTACTTTTTGATAAACAATTAATATTGGATTTAATATTTTTAATTAATCTAGTAGTTAAAATAAAAATGTCTGAATATTGCTTGCATTTGGTCGTGAAACATGAAATATCAGATTACTCGAAGAAAGATACCACACGCGACTGGAAAAGGATTACCGTAAGCGACTGGAACCGTAAAAAAGCTTCGATGGCTAAGAATAGACACACGTCCGCAATGGGTAAAACAATTAAATCGCATCACCAACATATCCCGACCGGATTAATCGCCGTCCCGGTAGATTCTCTCGTCAAAAATTCTCGCTGTAAAAGATAAAATATAAGAAAAAGAAAAAATATATATATAATAATATAATAATAATAATAATAATAATAATATAATAATATATAAAAAAAGAAAAAAAGAAAAAAGATAAAATATAAAATTTCCAGAATCGCATCGATTATCGAATAATAATAGTAATAATAATAATAATAATAATAATAATAATAATATAATAATATAATAATATAATAATATAATAATATAATAATATATAAAAAAATAAAAAAATAAATAAAAGATAAAATATAAAATTTCCAGAATCGCGGTAAATTTTGCGTTCGAACGTCGGAACGACACAACAACGTTCGATCCGAAAGATCTCTCCAACTGCATACAAAATCGATGCAACCGCCGAGAGACGAAGCATCCGAAAGACTCTCGAGTCGCGTGCGCGATAAAACGCTCGTAAATCGTCGTGCTCGTTCCGATCGGCAATCAGGATTCGTCGGTGCTCCTCCGCCGAATGTTTTAATTAGACCTGTTCGGACGAGTGCGGCCGGAAAGCAGCAGCGATCCCGACGAGTTAATTACGATGGCTCCGCGCGCCGCCGATATATTCATCGCGGTTCGCCGGCGATGCTCGGCGCATCAGCTCGAGAGCCGGAAAAACGGCGGAGTTTCTTGCGATTCGATACGTTCGAGTAGAAAGGATACTTCCTGTAAAAAGTAAGGGGCCATCGACGGGATGACGTCGATAAGTCGATAGCACTCTACGGATGGATTTTCAGGGCAAGCGCTCCGCGGCCGGGAGGGGCGCGCGCGAACGCCGCGCCGGATGATCCTTGAAGAGGGGCTCGCTCGTAATCCGGCAAAACCTCGAGGATAATCCAGTATACGCCGCGAGACGCTGGCAGAGGGCTGATCGAGACCCTTTTATCCGTTTCGGGACCGCCACCGCCATTTACGTGTCTGCTCGTTTCGCCTTATCTCGCCGCCGCTCGCGCCGCTTCGTCCTCCTGACCTCGCGTTAAAACGTCGCTCCGCGTCGTCGTGTTATCGGCCCCGCGGTCCTCGACCCACCCCCTTGCCACCCTCTTGCCTACATCACCGCCGCCATGTACTCCGCCAGGATCTGGAAGGAAGCAAGTTTATCGGCAGACGAGACGAGGCTCGCGGAAAATCCACGATATGTCTGCATCGAAATCGATTATCCTTCGACGAGGACGATCCGTCGCTTCCACGCCGATAACCGGGGATCGCGTTTCCTGCTTCGCCCTTTCCTGCTGCAACGTTAATCAGATTTTATGAACGCGTCGGATCGGTCGCCGCGGGTGCCTTCTCTTTCCTGTCGGGAGATTGGCCGCGCGGACTTATTGGAGAAATCGGAAACGCGAGAGTCGAGCGCGGCGAGATCGCGAGCGACGAAACTCGCGCGCTCCGGACGCGGGGAACGGATTTCGTTGTTTTCAATTGTTCGGCGGAGTTCGATCAAGTTTTGCCGAGGTTCCGAGTACGATGAACCGTGACGCCACCCGGGGTTCGGCTTGGCAATGTCGAGCCAGCTTGCATCTAAATGCAATTGATGTTAAAGATTGAGCTGAATGGAGGTTAAACTGAGGTTGACGATATCGAAAAGATTGCTTTCTACGACAATTCGTAACTATGAAAACGAACCGCAAGGCTCGAATAATCGTATGTCTTCTTCACGAATTGTTCATTTTTCTGGACAATCCGAGCGTCAATTAGAGAGACATTACTGTGTCTGGTTAATTAGACTGCGGACATTTATATGTCGATCAAATATATTCAGAGTATGTAAATGACACGCGTCGAATATTTATCGAAAATACGTCGATAATATGTCCATCGAGAATACGCAAAGTGTACTCGAAAATATGTCCAAAACAATTTGATTACTTGAACGTAATACTAATAATAATTAATCATTATTTAAATTACAATATGTTGCGACTATATTTTCTATATGTTATCTTTGGCGTTAGTTGACGATGTTCGTTGAATACGTCCAGGCAGCATTTTAAGTTCAGCAATTTCAAGTTCAGCGGCAATTTTTTCAAGTTCTTCAACAATCTCGCAGAATTTCACTAATTTTGGATATCGAAGGCGGGCATTACGATGCGAATACAGTAATGTCTCTCTGATTGACGCTCAGATTGTCCACGAAAATGGACAATTTGGGAAGAGGAGATGCGATTATTCGAGCCTTGTGGTACGTTTTTATAGTTACGAATTGTCAACAATTGAGCCGTTTATTTTGAAAGTAAATATTGTTAAAGATAAAACGTTAATTACGTGATTATTTTGGTACAAAATTAATCTTGAGCTACGCGTGGAAAATCTGAATCTGCATCTTGAAATAGATAACACGTGGTGAGATCATCGAAACAGCATGACGTTCTAACGACGTTCTTGCCAACAGATGGCGAAATTTTCGAACTGCTCTCTCGCTGCTGAAATTGTGAGCTGTGTGCTTGATATAGCGTCGTCGCAGCTCGACGAATTAAGATCATACTTCACAGGATCAGTTCTGTAGTTGATCAGTTCTTTCTCTCTGTTCAAACTGAGAGTCGATGCAACCACGATGAGGAGGCGTAGCTCCTTTCCCTGAGCGTGAGGAAGACTNGAGAGTCGATGCAACCACGATGAGGAGGCGTAGCTCCTTTCCCTGAGCGTGAGGAAGACTCGGGAAGTTGACTTTGTTCAATTTCTCAGTCATCGATGATCGTTCATCCCTTGTACTTCGTGCAAGGGAGGTGGGAAGTGGAGCTTTCTGAGTGGCTGTTTAATTTATTTGAAAACAAAAAAGTTCTTAGATACGAGACGTGTTTATTTTGAAAGTGGCATAAGTCACTTTGTTTTTAAGTCGATATATTTAAGGGTTTGCGTTTTAACACGTTTAAAAATATGGGGATGCTAACTTTCGAGATGATTTACTTGTATTTGTTATCTCAGGATACTGATATTTTTCTCAGTATAAATAATTACGTATAAACATTAAAAAATTCACCACTTTGGCGGCGGTTCGCAAGGTCGTGGAAGTGGAAAGACGTTTCGTCCGGGGCCCGCTAGAGGACTCATCGGTAAGGCTATCCTAGCGGGCCCTTGCCTTAGACGTAAGGGTAGGACGAAGTCTCGGTGTATATATAGGGATCGAAACGGATCGGCTACTAGCGGGAAGAGGAGCCCTCTGCTGGCAGGTTTGGAGGTAGCCGCCACACCACTTTTCATTACGGTAGTAAAGTGACTTGTGCCACTTTCAAAATAAACGGCTCAAATGACTTCGTATTCGAAAAGAACTGAATCGACTGGCGTAATAAAAAATATATATATTTTTAAGAAATATAACGCTCGACGCGTTCACCTAGGTTGAACCTAATTAATATCGCGTTACATGGTCCCTAAGACAGTTCAAATTTCATTGGAAACATTTTTTAGCATCGTCGACGATTTCGAAGACGTTTGACCGGATTAAATGGGTCACCTTGTATATACCAGAGGGTGCGAGAACAAGACATTAAATAATAATAAGTAATAATAATACGTAATATATATAATAATAAGTATATATATTTATTTATTATATATTTAAATTATATATTTATTATATATTAATAAGTATATTATATATAATAATAAGTATATAATAATATATAATAATAAGTAATATGTCTTGTTCGATAGACATAAAGTTACCCGAAACTAGAGACCGAAGGCACAGTAATTGGCCACCCCACAGTAAACCAGTGCCCTAGTACAATAATGTCTCCCTAATTGACGCACAAATTGTGCACAAAAATTGACAATATGGGAATAGAAGACACGATTATTCGAGCCTTCCAGCTCGTTTCTATAGTTGCCGACAATTTATAACTGTAAAAATGAACCGCAAGGATCGAATAATCGCCTCTCTTCTCCCTAAATTGTCCATTTTCGTGGACAATCTGAGCGTCAATTAGAGAGACATTACTATAACACCGAAGTCCATAGTTGCAGTCGAATGAGAGCAGACAGACGAGGCGCGAAAAGAAGCAGATTTTGACGTCTGCGCGAAAGCGATAGTTGACAACGCGAAAGCAGATTTCTGTGCGTAGAAAATAAGAGAACCGAGAAATAGCGTGAAATAAGAAGAAAACGAGGGAGAAGGACAATTACGATATTTTCGTAATTAGATTCGACAGACGAGGCGCGAAAAGAAGCAAACTTTGACGTCTGCGCGAAAGCGATAGTTGACGACGCGAAAGCAGATTTCTGTGCGTAGAAAATAAGAGACTTGAGAAATAGCGTGAAATAAGAAGAAAACGAGCGAGAAGGACAATTACGATATTTTCGTAATTAGATCCGACAGACGGACTCGTTAACGTTGACCCATGGGAACGTGTAATTTCAACGATGTAATGCCCGGAGCAGTTATACGCCGGTAATTTCAGGTGATCGTGAATTAACGACTGACAAGAATAATAAAGGTCCAAGATCGAAGATCCCCGCTAATTGCAATGAAAACGGTGGCCGGCGAAGTTTACGTTTCATCTGTCCGCGGCCGTGCGGCCGCTCTTTCCTCGTGAATCGTCTGGGCGAACGGGGTGGGCAATCACGAGTTTTCGAATGATCGCGGACCGAGGGGTGGGGGTAGGGGGGGGCGGGATTTAAGTGGGCCCGGTAATTAGGGAAAACGATTTTCCTTGGGTTTAAGGGTAGAAACGTGTACGTCGGAGGAAAGTTTAATCGTCGAACTATTCATTGAATTCGAGCCGGAAGACGTAAATGAAGAAAAATGTTAACTTTTAAGAGAGGGCCAAGATCGCTTGCTCGTTTCTTTTTTTCGATTTAATTCGCTCGGAGTTTTAAGCAGAGATAAATCCGGAACGGTTCGGACGATTTCTTAGAAAGGGACCCTCGCGGCATCTTTGTTCTCTGCTAACATATATATATATATATATCATTTAATTTATTTAATGCCGCGCAACTGCGTAACAGCAATTAACCTGGAAACAGCGATTAAGTCTGCTAATAATCTTGGCGTGTTGCTTCGTTAGAGTTACATGCGAAGATCGGCGAAACAGGATCCTGCGTTTTAAATTGTTTTATCTTTTATTCGCATCTTCTACGTAAATCAAAGTTGTCAGCGCGTGATTCAATGATACAAGCAAAAATCTGTGTTATGCTCTTCGCGATGCTCTGCTCGAAACTTCGTGCCATGTTTGTGATTTTTATAATTATATAATATAATATTTTTATATCTTAACTTGCGAGAATACTTGGACAATAAAAATTAATACATAATAAATACAAATAAATAATATAAACAATATTAATTAATAATAAGTCAATATATAATTAATATATAATAATAATAATATAATAATATTATTATGATAATAATGAGTCAATATATAATTAATATTTAATTAATATAATAATTATATATAAATTAATAATATAAATAATAGACAATATTAATTAATTAGTAGTACTTGGACAATATAAATAACAATATAAATTTAATAGTAATAAAAATTCATTCAATTGAGCTTGCGTTTAGACTTGAAGACACGTTTTAATTGGCACCAAGCCATTTATTTTGGTACAGGTTAACGTTTCACGTAGAAAATAACAAGCTGCGTCGATCGGTGGAACAAAAAACATATAATTCCATTTAAAAAATAAAAAGAAGAAAATAGAATCGACCTTCGTACGGTACGTGATCCAAGTACAGAACAACAAAAATGATCTCTCGGAGCTGGGAGCGTATTTTGGAGCGCGGCGCGGAAGGAAACGCGCGTTATAACACATCGAAACAAAATCTGAGAATTTCATTTAATTACAGAGAGCCAAGGTTATGGACGCCGGGACTGCGGCGGGCAAGAGTAATAGGGATCACGGCTAAAAACCGAAATGAAATTTCAAGACGGCCAGAGACGTCGTTCTCCCTTTGCTCGCATTTATCTCCGAGGGGGGAAAGGCGGAGAAAGACCGGGCGGAAACGGGGGTAGGAGGGCGAGGGTGGGAAAGGATCGCGGCGACTCGGGAAGACAAAACGACGAAACCACGGGGCTTTGAACGGATCTTGATGCAAGGTTGAGATTTCCCGGAGACTGAACGGCTCGGGACGACCACCTGCGACAAATTATAGCCGAAGGAACGTTCCTATTGACGCGTCGCGTCGGCCATATTGCATCGCGAGGATTGTCGCCCTCCCCGGCGAGAATCTATCGGGATTATTCGAGTTGTCCAAGTTGCCCGTGGAACGGAATATTTTGCGGCCCGTAATACCCCGCTAGCATTTATTAAACGCCGTCATCCCGGGGTCTAGAGCTTTCCGAGAGGATCAGCCGAGATTAATTACAGGGGAGACCGATGATGGTTCTAACGCTTCGATTTTAGAGCACGATTGCTGCACGCAAGCTATTGTATTTACGACGACGATCATTCCACGAGCCTCTCAGCTACTTATTTCGAGATTATTCGGTCATGGTAGTTTTGTTCGTGCGTCGAGGAATAGCCAAGTTGTGTTAATAAAATACAGGACACATTAATTTTGAAATCAATGTTAGAATCAGTCGCGAACACAACTTTTCGGTGTAGAGTAAGTGCATTACTGCGGGCACCCCAAATACTGCGGTATTTTCTAAAAGTTATAAAATGTAACATTTTAGTGTGCAATCTTCTAAAAATAAATGCTATAATTTTTTATATTATGTTATATTATTGTGATATTATTATTACACTATATTACAATTATTTTATAATATTGTTATTATACTATACTACAATTATCTTATAATATTATTATTATATTATATTATATTATTTTATAATACTATTATTATGTTAGATTATTTTATAATATTATTATTATATTATATTATATTATTTTATAATACTATTATTATGTTAGATTATTTTATAATATTATTATTATATTATATTATATTATTTTATAATACTATTATTATGTTAGATTATTTTATAATATTATTATTATATTATATTATATTATTTTATAATACTATTATTATGTTAGATTATTTTATAATATTATTATTATATTATATTATATTATTTTATAATACTATTATTATGTTAGATTATTTTATAATATTATTATTATATTATATTATATTATTTTATAATACTATTATTATGTTAGATTATTTTATAATATTATTATTATATTATATTATATTATTTTATAATACTATTATTATGTTAGATTATTTTATAATATTATTATTATATTATATTATATTATTTTATAATACTATTATTATGTTAGATTATTTTATAATATTATTATTATATTATATTATATTATTTTATAATACTATTATTATGTTAGATTATTTTATAATATTATTATTATATTATATTATATTATTTTATAATACTATTATTATGTTAGATTATTTTATAATATTATTATTATATTATATTATATTATTTTATAATACTATTATTATGTTAGATTATTTTATAATATTATTATTATATTATATTATATTATTTTATAATACTATTATTATGTTAGATTATTTTATAATATTATTATTATATTATATTATATTATTTTATAATACTATTATTATGTTAGATTATTTTATAATATTATTATTATATTATATTATATTATTTTATAATACTATTATTATGTTAGATTATTTTATAATATTATTATTATATTATATTATATTATTTTATAATACTATTATTATGTTAGATTATTTTATAATATTATTATTATATTATATTATATTATTTTATAATACTATTATTATGTTAGAT